TCCCTGATGGCTTTAAGCACAAGCAAAACAAAACCCTCATATGCCTTATCTGTGTCTACTAAAAGTGTAGGTTAAGTGCTCTTTGGCACCACATAAAGTCAGACTGGTTGTGTACAGGCAGGAAAAACAAATGAATTGTTACAGTGAGCCAGCTAATGTGTTTAAGATGTGACTATAAAGGTGGCAACAGAGGGAGTTCTACCTTAGTGTTACAGATATTTTAATAAAACATAAACACTGTTTTATCTAATGAGAATGTGACTGGGGGAAAAGAACATGATACTTTGTGGAAAAAAAGTATTTTATATATAAAACACAATGATGAAGCGTTCAAAAATCTAAAATACATGGCTTTAGAATATTTACGTGAGAATGTCTTCAACTGAGTTGGCATTGACTTCTAATTGGGGTATAATTTTACACATTTGTAAAACATTGGCATCTACCTACTGGTTAAAGGAAATGTTAAGAGAGAGGTACAGTTATAGTGTCACTGAAAAAGATATTTTTAAATATTACCCGCAAACAAAAGACAGATCATAAAAAAATATAAAAATTACACAATCATAGGATATTTTATTAACTACTGCCTAAAATATGCATATTAATAACATGCATAACATTTTGTATAAAAACATTATCTTGATAAAGAGACTTGAAATTATTATGTACTTTCCATTATAAAGTAGTTTTGAGTTGTTGATTACTAAGGCTGTCAGATTTTCTGCAAATTGGTATAATCAGTGACAAATTTGTATGGTAAGGAGGTAATTCCAACACAGAGATATCATTCTTATACCTTGAATTAATTTAAATGATAACTTCTATCTATTAAAATATAAGATTCTAGGTTCCTTCCTAATAGAAGTAGTGGCTTTAATACTGCTTTTGGCTAGTTCATCAACAAAATTATATAACATTGCTCATATACTTAATGATCCAGAAGTTCCCTTTTAGTTTTGTAAGGAAAACATTATGAGGACAGGTTAAGAAATCTCAGTCTGCACATTCTTGTCAGCTCATAGGCAAAGATAATGCTAGTTTTTAAATCCTGATAGAAAATTGTATTCAAAAATCATGAAAACAAATACATCATAAAGCACATGGAGTTATTGGTAGCTGGTTTTATTAGTCTCGTTAGCACATAATTTAAGCAGTTTTATAAAAAGTCTCTTTCTTCACCTATATAGAAATATTTTTTATACTCCTTGCCCAAAGGAAAAATATTGCTGCTCCAAAAGCATGATCCTAGTTTTTATGCTATTCTATTTTGCTTAATTTCTGTAGAATATTGAATACCTCTCTAGAGAACTGAGATCAAAAAGCCTCAAGCACACAGGAGAGCCAAGGCAGCATAATAACTAATCCACAACAGCTGAACCACTCTAAGCATTGGTTACTGAGTACTGTTAACACATCACAGTAAATAAGGTCAATAAACTTATCTTAAACAATGTGAAAAAGGCAACATATTTCAACAGGAACATGAGCAGACCACAGAAGTGCTCTGTTACAGTTGCTCAGCTGTTAGGTGCTTCCAGAATAAACTATTAGAATTTGATCATATTTCATTCCTATAAACAAAAATCAGCTGATATGTTTATGGCATATAAAACAGCAAAGGTTAAAAGATCTAATATATAGCCATGCTACAGACACTGGAGTGGTGCAAAAAGCCTATGCCCTCACACACATGCCAGGTCATTTGCTAATTCTTCAGTAAATTTCCACCCACTGAGTGAAAGCTCATAGAATTAATATGAACATACATTTTTTATGCAAAAGTCAGCCATCCCTCCTTAAATAACTAAGGAAAGTGGGTTTTGCTTATCTGGCTGATTTTCCACCAAAGCTTATTATATAAAGTTCATATTTTCTACCTTGCTGACTGAGCTGAGGGGCTAAACCTTCTAATGACTGGTGGTGATAAGCAGTCAGAGTGTAACATTTTGAACTGCTCCACAAAGAGTCATTCAGGAACATCTGCCTATGCCGCTGCTTCTAGAAGAGGAACACACTTGCTTCCCTTTGACATTTCTTTGCCCTGAAGGAATAAAAAGGGTTCATAAGTGCATTTTACCAGCAATTAACTTTTCCTTGCATCAGCACTCTCCTCCTTTGTTGACTCATGGTATCCAACATATACACACAAAATTCTTGCCAAACTGCTCGGTTTTTTTTTTACTAACAATCTACTTGACCCATAATGCTGCAATTTAAAACATGCTTCTTACAATAAGGCTCTCAAATTCACAATATAGAGTCAGATGAACCCCTCAGGAAAAAGAAGGGTTCGAAGGTAAAAAAAAAAAATCCCTCAATTGGTATCCAGGAATTTGTCTCTAAGAAGGAAACAGAAATGTTTTGTGACTTAGGTATCTCTCTGATCACCAGGTAATGTCACCTTCCCAGTTGTTCATATTAGGCTTGATTCCAGAACTGCAGTCCAGAACAGCAGATTTACTTTTAGTCCCATTGCCAGAGGTTTGAAAAGAAGCCTGAATAACATGGATATCTGCAGCATATCTAGTTCTTGCCAGCACTTCCCGAACCACCTCACCAATGAAAGTTGATCCACTTTCCTCAACATTCATCAAAAGTTCATTTGCATTTTTCATCCTATTTCAAATAAAAAGGACTGTCCTAAGAATCCATAAGCACATGCATATCCTGCAATAGCCAACGGTTGTTAGAAATCTGGAGCTTGAGGCACTAGGGAGTGAAACCCAAAGTGTCTTATAAAAATCACCATGCACTTTAACTCCACATTATGCTCTACAAAGAACCGTCAAGCAGAAAACAGCACTCCAAGAGTCAAGTTTAAACTTCTCCATCAAACACTGAATTACTAGTACAAAGTCATACATGCTGCTTCAATCATATGAACAGATTGACTTCAAAACAAATGAGCTACAAAAACCAGTAGTTTGCTGCTCAAAGCAAACAAAGCATTACTTTTGCTGCTACAGCCAAAAATGTGCAGAACAGAAAAATGCATGACTGAAGGTATGAAACCTTCCTATATGCTACCTTTACAAAAGCAGAAATACCAGGGCAGTAGAATGGGAGTAGCTGTCAAGATCTCTGGCTCCAGATTACCTGTGGAGACTCCCTGCACCAACCAATGCCTTTACAACATAATCACCACTACATGCAACAATGGAAATCTCACCCAGTTTGGTTTCCATTGATACCTCTGCACACCCCTGCTTTGCCTTTGAGAGTAGGAGGAGAACACTACTGACTATGTAACAAAGAAACAGAATGGAAGTAAAGATCTGTATCCTACACCTAATTTACACATTTTGTATTCATCTCACCTGGCACAACACTGAGTGGATGAGTAATGAGATCATCATCTCCTCATCAATGAAAATCTAAAGTCACTGAGACAGGAAGATGCAGCTGTGCAACAACAAACAGCATTACTGCATACTAGGTTAGAAACAAGAAAGGAAAGCACTATGAGCCATTTAAACTTAGGAGGGATTTTATTATCATCATCTCGACTGCAATATAGCCAAGAAAACAGTGATTTGAAAGGCAGCTCTCAAAGTTCCTAGGCCAAAAATGATTACAACAAATTTTCCATATAGCCATTTTTCAGCTAATCTGGTGTCATATTTTGCTTCTTACTGTTTACTGTTGGTTCAGATTTAGTCTATCCAGAATTCAGAAGGGAAAGCATATGATTTAAATTCCAATTCTACCGTGAGTTCTCTATAAGTGCAGTGTTATTGCAGAGAAAATTGGTTCTTAAAGGCCACATTCCAAAACAGAATTATTTGCTTTCTGAACGTATTTTTTTGAGCTCCAGATATAAATAATCTTTTTTTTTCAGACGACTGAAAAGTGTCTAGAGGAGAAATTCTATTAAAAGTAAAGAAATCAACCCTCTCACATTTTAACAGTAGAAATTTAGCAAAAAAAAATTTGAAAAAACACTGCAACAAAATTTTGCAACACAGGCAAAAAGTAAGGATCATATTGTGTACAAATCCTATTTAACAAAGATAGAAACAAAGCACCTGTAAAGTAAGTATTGGTATAGTACAGTGAGTATACTACAGCATATATAGTAGCCCTTCTGTATGTATTGATACACATGATGTACATTATCACATACAGTTATCGTGAGATGAGAATGATGGCACTGTAACTACTAAGCCACTCTAACTTGAACATCTGAATGACTTCCTATTGTTTGACCTGTATTTTGTCAGTGTTTTTTCATTGTTAAAACGTCTCTATCAATTGCAGTGAGGTTATAGGACGTGCAAAAGCTGTGTTAGTAAACAAGGATAGTAATTAGGTTTTTCTCGCTGACAAAGACACATATGTTAAAAGGTAACTGCCATCTCCTACATATTTTCTCTTATTTCTTAACATGGTGTGGGAAATATAGTGCAGCTCAGTATTTGACCAAAAGTTTAGGTACAATATACTACGCAATTTAGTTCTGCCTCTTCTCCAACTCCTACCTTTTACGAACGTCATTTGAAGTGTCGCTACTTAGGCACATCACGGACAATTAACTACGAGTCAAAGTACTGTTGTACTGTAGTACCTCGCTTCGGCTGCAGCTTTGCAACAATATTACTCGCGAACCTACAAAATGCAAACTACTTGCCGTCTTCGTAATTCTAGGGGAAAACCCGGATACTGTCAATCCCTCCGAACAGCTCAGGGGCAAACCCCGTGTCTTCGCAGAGCTGGAGCTCTTCTCGTTATGGTCGCACGGTAATTAGAGCAGTTAACTGCGAGGCGTCTATCGTCTGCCATAAAGGCAGCCCCCAAGGTTGGGCTGCACCCTCGCGGGGAAATGCTTGGAAGGAAGTTTGAGCACACTGATGTTCTCAGTAGCCGCCCTAAGAGAGAGGACCCGTTTCCCTTCCCTCCTGTCAGACAGGGGCCATCAGGAGAGACAGCTCCGAGGCACCCCCGCCGCCCCGGCCAGGGCAGCCTCACCTCCCTGGGAAGGCTGCAACAGCGAGACTTACCTTAGTGAGCTGGGCAATCTTCTTGCACATTTTCATGTGCATATCCCGATTGCATTCTTCTGCCGAGCCGCTGCGAGAGGCTTTAGATCCATTGCAAGTCCCGGGCTGATGAACGTTGTTTATGCCAGAGGCCATTAGGCTTGAATTTTAATCAGGTCTGTGTGTACGCTCCGGGTAGCGCGATCCCGTCCCCGCTGCTCGCCGCCCCCGGCGCTGGAGGAACTTCAGCCCCAAACAGGGCACGCTCCAGCCGCCGCCGCTCTCCCTTCTCTGCAGATGTCCCAGTCCTTCAGCAAAACACCCAGGCGAGCAGGCAGAGAACAACATGTGCAAACATCCTGATGGGGATATTTTTTTCCCTCCCCTTCTCTTCAGATGGTTGAGCTTCCGCCAGGAGAAGATGCCAGCGGCTGGGTGCTACAAATTTCCCAGCGGGGACACTGAGCCAGCCATACAGGCAGCAGCACAGGCATTGCCGGGGATCTGTTAGAGCACAGATCGCCTGAAGATTAAATCATGCTGCCTTCTTGGGCTGCCAGAGCATTGCAGAAGTCATCAGAGAAGGCAGTGTTGGCACCTTTCATAAGCTCTGTTATTCTGGCAATCCTCTCTTAAGTCTGGATAGACCACTTAAGTGATGAAGAAAAGCTTTGCTCAGTTTTTGCTGCCACACTGAAAAAAGAATGGAGCCAAGAGGCACACAAGAACAGCTGAGCCCTGGAGCTGTGTCCAGGATCCGGTCTGCCTGCTTTATCCAAAGCGACTCAGTTCCCCTCAGTTACACTAAATGCAGTGGAAAGGTGCTTGAAGAAAACTGACAATATTGCAGGTCTTTTTTTTTTTTTTAATGTGCACATTGTTTCAAAGAGATCAGGTCTGTACATGTAAAATAAATAAAAGGATAGAAAAGGCAGAAAAAAGGGCACAAAAAAAAGGCAAGCTATTAAGATAATGGGATTTTAAAAAAGAATGCTTCAACTGTTACATGAGAATAAACTGGTTAGTGAACACGTTTAAACAAGTCTAGAAGAGAAAGGGGAAGGAGGAGAAGGCCAAGCAGGGTGAAATCAGAGAGGTGGAGAAAAGGAAAAGTGAGAAAGAACAGGTAAAAGAAGCTGAGAGCTGCTCAACACCCCTTTGATGTGTCACTAGCAGTAGACAAGACCCTCTGGAGCAGGTCAAGGGCTCCACCTCAGCTCACACTGTCTTGCAGCCAGAGGGACTCGTGAGCCTGTTCCCTCCTCCTGCCCCATGCAGCTAAGGCAGCTTTCCAGTCTCACCTCCTGGTAGTACTTGCCGTCCTTCTTGAGCAAGAAGCTTCTGCTTTGCTAGTGGTGGGTTTGAAAAAAGAGCTTCCTGAGGACTATCAGAATTGGAAAGGAGGATTATGTGGTGTTGGCTAAGGGCAGGATAAAAGGAAAATGGGAAAGCCTTGATGAGGTTGAGGAGAGATAAAGCACTTTTAAGAATAACACAGAAGAAAAGGATCAGGGCAGAAGAAGAATGCCTACAGGCGGTGGGGAGAAGTAAGAGGACCTCAGGACAGGGAAACCAAACCCTTGAATTACTGGGAGAAAAGGTGAGACTGTAAATATCCAGAGGCAGAAAGAATCTTCACTCCAGAGTGAGAGGAAATGAGGACTTAGAAATGCAATGTAGAAGAGAAAACAAAGATAATCACAGTTGCTGGGAGATTCTAAGCAGGCAAAAGAAGTTTAGCCCAGACAGAACATTAGTAAGAAAAGGTAAGAAACAGATCCCTGCACAAAGGAACACCAAAGTACAGTTTCTTCACTCACTGACACAAATGTCCAAGATGCTGCTGGAACTTCTTCTGTGACTAGGGCACAGGCACATGGCATTGTCAATTGTCTGATATCTGATAAGACACTTAAATTTAACTCAGTTAATATGGTTATATCTTCTCTACACAGTCATCAAGTTGAGAAAAAGTGTAGAAATTTAATTATATGTAAAATTTTGATTAAATTGGCAAGCTTATTAGGACAATCAAGAGAATAGCAAGAGCTGCAGCAACATCCTAGCACCCTGTTTCCTCAGAGGAAAAAAAAAAAACCCCAAATTAAGTGAAAATAGAAAGCAAATCAGGAAAATGCAAAATGTTTTAAAAGTACTCACCATAAGTTACCTGTGTTATCACTCTACTATGTGGACAGTAACATGGCACCAAAAGTGGAAGGTTTATAGTCTTTCACTCGTGTATGGTTGTTCGGCTGAACAGCAGAGGACACACTGGACCTGGAAGCACAGGTGGACAGAGACTTGAGACCCATACATGGGCACAGGTAGAGCAGAGGAGCACAGACCATCAGGGACAGTGTAAATGGAATAAACCACTGAGATATCTCAAGCTGTTTTTGTATTTTGGGGGGTTAGAGGGAAGAACTTGAGGCTTTGGTACAAGATGGTGTTTTAGCAGAACATAATTTGTCACTAGTAAAGTATTTTGAGTCCAGACAAGACTTTTCAGACAATACTTCAAACACTGGAAAAATTTCAGTCAGATCTCATGCACCAGAAAATGCAACCACAGAACATAAATTCACAGATGACTCAAGTTCATTAGTCTCATTATTCAAAAACTCCACTTGGTTTCAATAACAGAATTTCAGCAGATAATGCCAGAGCACTTCAGTGAGCATTTAACATCTTTTTTTTCTTCTCATTGATCTAAGGATCACCTATACATAAGATGACAAAGCAAGGACATCACAAACCATAATATAAATGTGTAGTACACAAATGAGGGGTTTGTGAGAATGACATGGAACACATAGGTGGATTACAGAATGTTTATAAACTTGGGGCAGTAAACAGGAAAGACAGTTTAAAATAAAAATTAGAAGTCTAAACAGAAAATACTTCTTTTTGAGTTATTATTACTGCACTAGTTTTCACTAAACTATGAGAGAAGGTGGTCATGTCACTACCATCTTTCTAAAAGTCTGTGAGTAACTACATAGCTTTGCTGCTCAGGCTCATTAACGAATAACCTTTTTATTACAAAAGACAAATCATACATGATAAGACATACATACATAAAAGACTATAAGCCTCCCATTTTTGGTGCCTCCTGTTTGCTGAATATGCAGACTATATAACTTCTGAAATCTTCAGACTAGCTACTATTAAAAGAGTCACCCCCTCCCCCTAAAATTCCAAGACATAAAAAAGATATTTCTGTTGCAAATGTTTAATACCTAAGTTTGCACCTTTATTTAACACATTACAAACAGCTTTCCCAAAACAATTAATACAGCCCAATTCTTTTACTCTGTCTGAATACCAGTACTACCAAGGTCAGTGGGATTTTTTAATACATGAGCGCAAAGTTAAACTGGTCTCCCAGCTTACACTCTACTGCTGTTTTACAGTCCAATAAAATTTGCATTTGGAAATGGTAGAACAATACAGTAAGTCATTAACTGTCATGTTATGTCAGAACTGAGTGGATGGGGCACTGGGCAACGTGATCTAGATGGTGGCATCCCTGCCCATGGTGGCACCGGGCTGGGTGTTGGAACTAGACGATATTCAAGGTCCCTTCCAACCCAAACCTTCCAACGATTCTATGTTTCAAATGACAAAGCCTTATTACTAAAATTGATTTAAAACTTCTCAAGTTGGTGTGTCAACAAAGGAAGATGCAATCCTAAGTGAGATTCTAATTTAATTCATAAATTACTACCCTCATTGATTTCCACTTACACTCACTTTGGTCCCAGAGTAGCTTTTTGACCCCAGAATAGAGAATTCTGGAACTTTTTTTCCTTCTTAGAGGAGGAAAAAAAAAGGAAATAAGGATAAAAAAATGTAGTCAGAAGACTTGTAAGAGTTATCCTGCTCACCTAATTCACTATCCTACTTCCAATAAAACTTGGTTTGGGATTGAACACAAGAAAAATGACAAGTATAAAGTGCTACCACTGCTACATCCTTGGTAATTACCTATGGTACATATAATTATATTTAAAAATATTATATATAACTACTTTATAATTTTAATTTCTTCTCACCTCATAAAGCAAACAGGATTCCAAAACCACTAGAATTGCTGCCAATTTCCTCATTGACTGAAAACAGTAACTATTCAAAAATGTATATACAATTTTCCAGCTGACTTATATAAATGCAAGTTTTGGAGTAACGTGGTGAAGAGAACCTCTCATTACTACTGCATAACGATGGCCTAATTATGGATGAAACATTACTATGCTTACATTTTAAATATGGAAACTGGAACCAACAAAATGCATCAGATATAAAAGCCCTTGAACACCTAACAAATGGGCTAGCAACATCTTCTATTTCTTGTAACCTGTTTTTTATCCAGTGACCTACATCCAATATTTCCACAAAGGAACTGGCATGCAGCAAGCTTGGCGGCTTACCCAGTGCCACTGTATTTTGCTCACATAACAGGACTGACAAAGGAAAGAGAAGGGATCTAGAACAGTGATTCAGAAGTAGACCATAGCAGATAAGGTCACTACTTTCAAGGACAAGTAAAAAAGCTTTAATTAGTAGAGTGCACTTCCCTCCAGAGCCTGGAGCACCATCCAAAGTTCTGAGTTTCATCACTCTTCTCCTTTTCAGATAGAACTGTGAAACCCACTAGCCACAACTTCTGGGCCTGCACTGGTGGAGAGAGCCTTGCTCCTCTAGTCAGTCATCATATCCATCCCTCAGGAAGTAGCTGGCCCTTACTGAGCCCTGAGACTTAGCTCAGCAAAGGACTGAAAGCTCAGGGCTGAGCTGGAATGGGGCTCCTGGAGGCTGGAGGCCCAAGTGAGGCTGGTCAGGGCTCATTAAGGTTGATTAATGCAGTCAAGGCATTGAAACATAAGCTGTAAAAACTATGACAGCAACACTTCTATCAGTTGAACAAGGTATCTGGTATCACAAAGAGATGGCCAGCATTTGTGATCCTACTTCAGCATGTTATTTACCCACACATTAAATATCAATTATACTAGGAATTTTTTATTTCTACATATAAATACAAAGCCCAGCAGAAATATTTAAAGCAGCTGGAAGAAATAAATCTCATATCCTAGCTGAAATCCAATTTAAGGGACTATAAGGTATTCGCCAGGACAGATCCTCATCTGTAGACCTGAGACACAAGCAGGTACAAATGGGCTACTAAACATACGTGAATCAAAAATAATTCAGTTTGCATTATTAGTTTCACTTAAAATAAAAGTCCTGGGTTTTTAATGCCACAAGAATCACAAAGTTTTATTTGCTCTCGTCTTGCTGTTTCCATCTTCTTCTCCACAAACAGTGTCCTATTGCAGAAAAAATCTAGATGAAGTTAACTTTCCAGTAAAAATATACTAAATAGAAAAACTATTACACATTGTATTTCCCTAGAAAATATAACCTTAAAAAACGCAAACTCACTGAAGATTTGCTGTTGATTATAGTGGTTTTGTAGAGTGACTATTTTTTTAACATAAAATGAAAACTTTTAGGAAAATTTTAACATGTAAGATTCTATGTTACTATTCTACTTGTGCATATAGACTCCCCTTCCCACTCTCTAGGAGTAGAAAGGGATTAGTCCACATCTATATGTTTTAAAAGTTAATACAAAATACAAACGATTCACTCTTAAAAAGCAGCTATCTGTTTTAAACATACACAGATGTATGGTAATGTGTCAGGAAAAACCCCCTTTGCCTCATGTTTAAATTATTTTAAAATTTATTTTTATCTATAAAATATAATAATTTGTCTCCTGCTGCTGCCCTCCATCCTTCACATCCAGCTCTTATATCCCATAATCCTTGACACCATTGTAAGGAGAAAATAATTCTATTATTTCGTTGATAAAAATCTGCTTCTTAAAGAAAACACCGGGGAAACTTAGATCTGAAGCAAGACTGACCTCTAGTGTTTTGCTATTTTATGTGTTTTTATTTATTTTTCTTAGAAAAAAATGACCCTTCTTCAGCACGGGTCCTGCCTATTTGACCTACTGTCATTTGATGGTTTGTCACCTGTCCTTACTAAATAGCTTTCATCACTCGAAGTAATCAGACATCTTCTTTTTTTGAAGGCCAAACACATATGGACGACAAACACCTTAAGTTCCTACTGTCCACAGCTTACTTCTATTCACATTTTTGAATACTGTCTATAACTCTGTAGTTACTATATGCTCAGAACGTTTCCCCTCAGCTAATCATCTGTGGCCTTGCTTCTCATTAAAAGTGTCATTAAATGCTCTTCATACATTCTGTAAGCAGTCACACAGCTCTGGAGTTTGAGCTTAGTTATCTTTCCATTTTTTAATGAGATTCAGAATTTATTACTAGTCTCAAGTTAAAGGATATCTGGGGAAAAAACCATCAGGTTCACAACAAATGCTTGAAAATTTGGGAAAAAAATTTCCACTAGTAAGGGATTCAGTCTGGAAGGAGCCCAAATAGACATTCCAACAAGTCAGCTATCCATACTATCTGTCTTTTCAGTCCCCCTCACAGTGGATACAAAAAGGAGGGTGTTTCAGTTATTTTTTCTTACTGACACCAGCTGAGCTTTTTCGGGTTGATGCCCCACATGCTCTGGTGTAAGGCTCCTGTTTACAAAATGCGACTGTACTCATTTTCGCAGATACTCGCGCCCGGAGAGGACTTTGGGAGAGTGGCTGAAGGCAGTACCATGACTTGTCAGGCTTATTCAACTGGGGCGAGTCCAGAGGAGGGCAATGAAGCTGGTGAAGGGTCTGGAGCACAAGTCCTACGAGAGCAGCTGAGGGAGCTGGCGGCGTTCAGCCTGGGGGAGGCTCAGGGGAGACCTTATCGCTCCCTACAACTCCCTGACAGGAGGCTGTAGCCAGGTGGGGATCGGCCTCTTCTCCCAGGTAAAAAGTAATAAGAGAACATAGTCTTAAGCTGCTCCAGGGGAGGTTTAGTTCGGACATTCGGAAGGATTTCTTCACAGAAAGGGTAATTAGACACTGGAATGGGCTGCCCAGGGAGGTGGTGGAGTCACCGTCCCTGGAGGTGTTTAAGGAAAGACTGGCCGTGCCACTCAGTGCCACGGTATAGCTGACATAGTGGGCTTTGGTTGCGGGTTGGACTCGATGATCTCGGGGCTCCTTCCCAGCCTGACTAGCTCCGCGTTTGTGCGAAGATGGCGACGACGCCTCACCGCCGCCTCCCGCCGCGCCCGCCAGCGGCGCGGCCACGAGCGCGCGCCCGCGTTTCTCGCGAGATCGGGAGCGGCTCCCGCGCCTGGTTTGAAGCCCCGCGCGCGCGGGCGCCGCGGCCGTTGTGTGTGAGGGGCCGGTCCTGGGGCCTCCGCTCGCAGCCTCCACCCGGCCATGGGCGTGAGAAAGAAGTCGCTGCAGGTCCAGGAGGCCTTCCAGCTGGCCCAGAAGCCTCACCAGAACCATGCGAAGCTCGTGGTGGCTCTGAAGGGCACCTATACTCAGGTACGGCCGCCCTGGGGCGGCCCCGGGCCGGGGGGAGCTGGCGATGCTCCGCGGCTTCTCCGCTGCTCCCTCGGAGGCGAGGGCCTTCTCCGCAGTGCTCCACTGAAACTGAAGCCCGTGTGCCTAAGGAGAGCCCTGCCACTTAAAAAAACGGAATACCACCCACCCACACCCCCCCAATCCTCAAAAAAAACCCACCCAAACGAAGCCGCTGAATTATTCTACGCATTTGCCTCCCGCGAACGCGGCTGTGAGAACTGCCCGCGGCAGGAATTGATGGTGTTTGGATCCTCGAGATGTGGATGTGACCCCCGAGATGGGGGTGGTAGTAGGTGGGGGTGTCGATTGCCATCCTGAAACCTGTCAGCAGGTAAATGTAAACTCCAGGGTGGAGCCCAGTGGTCGGGACGTGCCTCCTGTGCACTTAAAGCAAAATCCTCGGTGAGGGGTGCACGACAGCGGGTGTGCCCTAACTGCTGGCTGCAGCCCTTTAAAAATTTAAGTGGAAGCTGTCAGTTATGAGCACATTTATTTTATTTTTCTGTGGTACAGCTTTTGAAAGATGAAGCGGGCAGTTATCTTTTGTTGTGGTTTGATTTTTTTTTTCCCCAGATGGATGATAAAGAAGACTTTCATGAAAAATTCATTCATTTCCTCAAGTATGCTATGATAATCTACAGACGAGAACCAGCAGTGGAGCAAGTGATCAATTTTGTGGCTAAATTTGTTACTTCATTCTATCAGACCGAGAAAGATGATGATAGTGAGGAGGGAGAAGAAGATAATTTACTTCTGAATCATGTGTTTAAATTTCTGCTTGAGGTACAGTAATGGTTATTATTAAATCTTTGACATAACAAAAAAACTTCTTGCAGTAGGGAAAATTTGCTGGTGCTCGAGGTGATACTTACAAACTAGAACTTAGAAAGTGAAAGCAAGGCAAAGATAGTGCTATATGAGTAACACCACCACCACTCCCCCAACCCTAAAAAATCTACTATAGGTGCATTTATAAGCATGAAATTGGGGAGGTGGTGTGGAAACGAGTTTATACTGTTTCTTTGATAACAAAAAAATATTAAAAGATCTTCCATACAAGTAGGCTGACATGTATTAATTCCTTTCTGCTAAGTGGAAGTGTTACATAGAAAAATCAATGGTTCCAATAGCATGAACACAGAAATAGAAAATTAAGAAATGTGAGAAATAGAAATGTAATTAAGAAAATTACATTTTCTTGGACTAATGTTTTGTCATGGAAAGATTACTGATCGGGCCAAGTTCACTAGTTATCGTTGCTAACATCTTTTTTTCTTTCTAATGTTTATGGAGGCAAAGCAGTAAGTTGGCTAGTGCACTGCAGGTTTCATGGAATGGTAAACATGCTGCTTCCTTTGTGAAGGAAGTGCTGATTTTCTAAAGAGCCACTGATACAAGTGTTGGGCCATAATTTTTTTCCGGTTCTGCGACTTTTTAATCTTATTAAAAATGAGTAGGAAAAGCTTTTGAAACATAGAAGTGCATATTTCATTTACTTTATTAAAACATTAGCTACTTACATGTGTGTATTAGGACCTTTATGTTGGATGTGAGAAAGAGTGATTATGAGAATACTTTTTTTTTTTCTTTTCCTAAGTCTCATGATGTGAACAGCCACGCAGTTAGATTTCGAACATGTCAGCTTGTTAGTAAGATTTTGGGAAATATGCCAGAAAATGCCCAGATTGATGATGACCTATTTGATAAAATTAATGAAGCTATGCTGATTAGACTTAAAGATAAATTTTCGAATGTGAGAATTCAAGCTGTCTTGGCCCTGGCGAGACTTCAGGATCCTAAGGATGAAGACTGTCCTGTTGTTAATAGTAAGTAGTAATGGTCTTTTTCTTTTCTCTAAGAACATTTGTTTATTTACATTACTTTAAAGCATTTTTAAGCTTCTTTTTTTTAAGCATCAAGTAAATGAATATTAGAGAGTATTCTTGTAATAATTCATAAACTGGAACTCTTTGCCAGAGGAGGTTGTACATGCAAGAGTTGCATACGTTCAAGGGGAGAAGACAGAACTGCTTGAAGGAGATATTTTCTAGACAGTTGTATTGGGCTTGGGCTGCTCTGTGAACTAAATGTAGAAATAGGATAGTGAAAATAGTGTGTTCAGTTCTTGCCCTCTAAGGACCCTTTGGTACTATTAATTGAACTGAATTAGTAAAGAAACTAAGAAACAGTAGGGATGGTAAAGAAAAACTATTATTACCTCTAATTATCATCACTTTCTGTAAGAGATCAGCACCTCTGCAGCACAGGTGTCTTGATGCTATGTGTGGGTTTCTTTGTATATGGTGTGATTCTTGACTAAGCTGCTACTTCTGTTGCCTCCAGGTAGACAGAGTGTAGGTTTGTACCAGCACAGCTGTTATGTAAATTGTGCCCCCATTAAACTTCACATGCTGTCTTTTGTGACAATTTAGTTAGATGAGGTTTTCTGTTGTTGAGGTACCTTCTTTGAAATTTTATTTTCTAAGTGTTTATTTATAGGTTGCTTATTTAGGAGTACCTAAATTTCATAGTCAATCATTGTCTCACAGAGCAAGAAGATGAATTCATATATACCCTGAGTAAATTAATTTTATAGTTGCTTTTAATTTTGAGGAAGGGTCAAGAATACAGTAAAAGAAAGTTGCAAGGGGGATTTACTCTATGAGTTTTGGTAGGCTTAATGGAGGTTGCAGCTTTCCGTTTATAGGAAAATTTGAGCAACTGCCTCAAAGGTAATGAGGATATACAGCTAATCAGTAGAGATCTTAAAGCGCCAACATTTGGAAAATTTTTTTCCCCAGTAAATGACAAAATGGTTATTTATGGATGGGATCTGGAGTAGCAGTTTTTGGAGTTATTAACTGAGGTTCCTACTTACAATTGTAAACGTTATTTCTTTTGAGATCATAGCTCAGCATGTAATTGCCCTGAAATCTTGGGGTTGTGACCCTGAACTGTTTCCTAAATTATCAGCTCTGCAGGGGCAGGAGAGGCATTTTAATAACAGCTGCTGATTTTTTGTTTTGTTAGTATTTTCTGCTTTCCTATAATGTTTCAAACTCTTAGGAAAACATTACTATTTTATTTTCAGTTTACACCACATTGCTTGAAAATGATTCAAACTCAGAAGTGAGACGTGCAGTGCTGTCATGTATTGCTCCCTCAGCAAGGACTTTGCCAGTAATTGTAGGCCGCACTATGGATGTAAAGGAAGCTGTCAGGAAGCTGGCATATGAGGTAAATTGGATCACTTAATGTTAATTTCAAGGGCTGACTTAATAAAAGTTTTAAAGCGTTTTTTTGTATTTTACTGGTTAAACACTAAGAATAGTTAGATAACTTATTTTCATTTACAAAAATTTGGAGGGGCAGTGATCTAATACAAGTTTTCTAGTTAAAACCCCTGAACTTGACTGCAGAACTTGTTTGATAGAAATTACTTGTGTGTTAGAACTCATCTCTCGAGGATCAGACAGTAAAAGAATAAATTATGTATGCAGTCTGTTGTTTTCTATCTATGCTTTTTGTGATGTTTATGAAACAAATTTTTGTTCTGTTATTACATAATAGATATTAAGTAGAGATAAGGTCACAGCAGTAGTAAAAAATTACATATTTTTGCTATTCCAATTTTGAGAAGTATCAACCATTACTTGTCTATATGTAGAGTAAGGGCAAGAAGGTGTGCTAACCTGTCTGTATCTTGTGCAGGCATCTTAGGCAAGATCTTGAAACAAAATGTTCAACTTTTTCACACAGAACAGTCTTCTGCTCTTTCTTAATTTAGGTTAAATTATGTTTTTTAACTGAACCCGTGTTATTAGGATTTAAGAAAAGTACATACTTCAGTAATTTATTGCAGGTATTTATTGCGCTTGGTGCTTTAAAGAGAGAGGATAGTTTTTGTATCCAGGTGTTGCATTCAAACAGAGCTGACAAGCTTCTAAGCTGTGTGTTAACTTTTTATTTTATTTTACATTTTTTTCCATGCAGAAGGGTCTGCTTGTTAATCTATTGTTACAGTGCTGATGGTATAGGTATTACAGACTTTTATTGACTTAGGATTTCTGTGGGTGGATAAAAGTGAGAATATAAAACAACATGTAGTTAATGGATTCAGTTGTTATCATTTGTAGAAATGTATTTTTGTATCTTAATTCTTTTTAAGGTTTTGGCAGAAAAAGTTCACATGAGAGCTCTGTCAATAGCACAGAGAGTAAAATTGTTGCAACAAGGACTTAATGACAGATCTGGTAAGAGATCATCTTTTTCGACTTCTTGATACAAATATTTGAGAGAATACTTTCTAATGTTTTCATGCAATTTATGTGGAAGCTGTGATGGCAATAATAGGAGCTCAAAGGGAGTAGTGAGATACCAGGAAATGTTTAAGCACATGAAATTTGCTTGCTGCTTTGATTTTTCCAATCCCCTTATAGTGGACAAACCAGAAAAAGATTGCACTTTTAAAAAACCTGAAAGCCACTGAGCTTTAAAATAGGGCAAAATGCTATTAAAATCAAAAAGCAATGTAATTAAACACAGAAGTAGAAAAATGTAATTAATTTGGTGTATTTGGAAGCTTTTCATTATAGATATTTTTGTAACTAATACATTAAAGAATTTAAATGTGTTTCCTGTGTGCTTTCAGAGAGAAAGCTCAGCTGGTTAGTTTTTCCTTTAACTAGCTTGAATTTTCTTTTAATGAATCTTCGATTGACCCTTATGCATTTCATCATGAAGCAGCTTTATTCTTTTTAACATCTTTTGTATTGTATCATTCAGAATGTACCTATAATTGGGTGTGATGTTGTTGCCAAAATATCAAAGGTCATATGCATCTGAGCGAGACAATTTTGGCCTGCCTACATAGAAGGAGCAATTATATAGATGAACTTCACAGTAAAGCTGCCAGTTTTGCTAAATGCTGATGTGTAATCCACATACTTTCTTTGGGAAGTCTGTACTAAGCCCTGTTGAATTTTACTCTGAGAAAGTTACTTGCTGAGTGATGTGCTGCTTGGGAATGGTAAGAATTATGATCTATGTGGATATTCACTTAGAAAACAAGAATGTGTTCATTAGTAACTAGAGCTCTTCAAGGTGTATTATGCATGCATGTGTTTTTGTTGATCTACCTTATTTTTTTATTGGCTAGTTGGAGAACATGTTAGTATGTTCTTGACGGGAACGGGAGAGAGAATCAGCTGAGTGCTTTCTTATGCTGTATAGACCTACACTTAAGAAGAAGCTCTCATTCTGTATGTTTGAGTTAGCACTTTGCCCACCTACTCTGAATTGTTCTATAGGAGTCTTACGAAGTTTGTCATGTTCTGTTTCTCAAGTCTAGCCCTGAAAAACCAAGTTATGACTTACTATTTCTTATCAGTATATTAGTTTGTTATTTGGCCTAACTAGTTGCTGGTTGCCACCTCACTCAGTAATGCTTGGTCTTGACAAATACTTCTTTTTCTTAGGGTGAATGTGCTCCTGTTTTAGTAACCTTTCCAAACTGAGGAGGAAGCTACCTGCACTAATTTTTCCTGTGATCCTTCATTTGTCAGGAACAAGGATTTGTTGTATTCCCTTAAAAGAGAAAGTACAGCCTTTCTACGTGGCCTGTTTTTCAATGACATTGAGGTGTTCAACCTTAAAAAAGTGCCGTCTTTTATGATCCAGGACGGATACTTTCTGGGTTAGTGTCAGTCTCTTCCTTAGGGTGATTCTGCATCCCAGCTATTGAGAACTTGCTCTTTTTGTTGACACCTAGAATCACAGGGAAAAACATCTGCCAGGGTATGTAGTTTGACTGGTGTAATGGATATCATGTGCTCTTTGCTGGGTAAAATGGGTTTATGTTCCAGATTGGCTATTCTATATTACAAATATGGCACATCCTATAGCTTTGATTTTGTGTATCTTTATTGAGTTTGCTTATCTGAGTAACTCCCAGGCTAAGAAATGAGAAACCTGCTCATTCAAAGTTTCTACATTGAAATTTTGAACGTCTTTCCATATTGACTTCAGAACGGGGGCTTATAATTGTGATCTGGAATACATACTCCAGATTCTGCTTAGTTCTACTGTTCAGGGTGCATTCAGCTGGCACTTCTCCACTCTCGTTCTGCTGTGTTCTATTAGTTTATGCTTTTCACTTTCTTGGAGCGGTTTCTCATTCTTAGGATCTTAATTTAGCTCTTTTAAGGCCTTTTTGCATCTCTTTTTGAACTCTTGACTATATTTAAGTGCTGTATTTATTAACATAAGTTACATATAAGGGAAAGATGAATCTTGTCAGTGTATGTGGACTTTGTTTCCCTTATATTGGATATTGTTTTCTAAAAGATCCTTAGAACATACTTGTATTGTTTCTGAGTTATATTTTTACTTCCACCAGACTATTAGCCTTTCAACTTCCCTGCTTAAGTCTGTGTGAATGTAGTACTGGTGTGTATTCTGGATGTTGCCATAAATACTTTTTGCCTTGATTAAATAGTACTTCATTGATCCAGGAACTATTTGTTCCTTGTGGCTGTGGGGAGGAGGGAGTTAAAGTATCATTATGTAAATGTCATAATCCATATGCATAATTGAATTAGGTCAAGAATTCTGTGTCATATCAGTTGTAGTATCCTGACTCCAAAAGTGGCCAATTCCTGAAACAGAGCAAGTTTATAACAATGCTTACTTGGAATATTTGGGACTGGAGTATCTCTCCTATGAGGACAGGCTGAGAGAGCTGGGCCTATTCAGCCTCAAGAAAATTGAGAGCAGTGTCTACAAGTATCTGAAGGGAAGGTGTCAAGAGGATGGAGCCAGGCTCTTCTCAGTGGTGCCAAGCAATAGGGCAAGAGGCAATGGGCAGAAAGTGATGCACAGGAAGTTCCACCTGAATATGAGGAAAAACTTCTTTATTGTGCAGGTGACCACACACTGGAACAGATTGCCCAGAGAGGTTGTGGAGTCTCCCACACTGGAGATACTCAAGAACTATCTGGATGCAACCTGGGCAATGTGCTCTGGGATGACTCTGCTTGTACAGGGAGATTGGACCAGATGACCCAATGTGGTCCCTTCCAGCCTGACCCATTTGATAGTTCTGATTCTGTGAATATTTCCTTGTTCTACAACAGTTTGTGATTTGTAGGTTTTCTGAGTTGAGGTGCTGTCTTTAGGTGTACAAGTTTTTTTGAGAGGTTTTTTTAGTTCCCTGTGAGAGGGAAAATTATATTGCCTCAAAAATGTGGTGTGCTGTAGGTAGTTCTTGTTAACCTCTTGTTTTTTTTTTTTTTTTTTAAGGTAATGTTACATTCAACTGTATAATAACTTCTTTGCAAAAGGACTTCTATAGAAAATTGTTTTGTGAAAATATGTTGAAAACTTGATATTTTTTGACCTCTGTTTTAAACCATTTAAATTCCTGTATTATTAGATGCTGTTAAGGAGGTAATGAAGAAGCTACTTCAAGTCTGGTTACGAGTCACTGAAGGGGATGTTTTAGAGTTGCTTCATCGACTGGATGTAGAAAACTGCCCAGAAGTGGCCATCCCAGTACTAAATGCTCTATTTTCATTATCTCCACTTCATGATGTTGTTCAGGAATGTAAATACCTTGACAGCAGGTATCCAAAAGATGAATATTTTGCATAACAATATAAAAGATTATATGTAAATGGGGAGCAGAGTAACTACTGCCTGTGATAAAGACTGATACTGTGGTGTAAGCTCTGTTGGTATGGTTAAGTGTTTTGGATATGCTTTTTTTCTTTTAAAAAAAGATCTGTAAACACCAGCTGTGTTCACCAGCTTATCTGTGCCCAGATAAGCAAGAGGAAAAAAAAAAGAGAAAAATATATTTGACTTCTCAATTCCAGAATATCCCAAAAGTCACATTGTTAAATTCTAAAAGTAGGCAGTAAATTAGTCAGTTAAAAAAGGTTTTATATGAGTAACAGCTTAGAGTCTAATTTGTTTGTAAGTGCTCCAGTTTACACCCACAACTCTGATTTCCTCTCTTCATTTAGCATGGGATACTGAAAAGCTTCTTTGTTTCCTTTCTCCCTCTTAGTAATGCTTCTAGTCTTTCTCCCACATTTCCTACTCTTTGACTTCCTGCTATGCTTTTTGCTGAGCTAAGAGGCAGCACAATTTGGGACTGGTTCAGTTATCCATGACCTGTTTGGCGAATCAGTCAGAATGGAATTACTGGACTTGTGTGTCAGTCTTGTTTTGGAGGTATTTTACTTGTTTTAAGAGCTTGACAGAATTTGCTTAGTCTTCTTTTTGGTGGAATTTGACTAAGATCCTAAGCCTTGAAGATGATGCATATTAAGATACATAAAGCAAAAATGAAGAGGGGAAGAAAACTAGAAATTTAAGTTGTAGGAAATTGCTAAGGGGGGCAAAAAGGTGTGAGAAGAAGTGTCTTGTGTTAATTGAGGCAATGAGAGTGGAATGAACAGTGGTAGGAGTCAAGTGTCAGATGATAAAATTAAATGAGAAATTGTCACTGATTAAAAAGTGATAACAAAATCTTTGTACTTTGGGATTAAATGCATAATATGATCGTATGAAGTGTCTTGCATTCTAGTAGTAGCATGACAGATGTTTTGAAATCAGTAGATGCTCTATGCATTGCACTCCAGAGCTATAGATGTGGGCCTGTTTACCTTTAAAAGAATCAATGATGATGAAATAACTTTCTTACAGCCTCTGGAAATGTGCCAGTGTCTTAAGAGGTTCAAAGGAGAACTTACATATAGTTATGGGCTTCTCGGGCTGACTTTGATCCTACACAAAATGAGGCTTCCATTCTGAAAAACTGGGCTGTCTGAGAATTTTAAGTTGTAGGTCTGTTAGACTGTTGACAATTTGAGAAGTTAAATTATTCAGCTCATAATGAGGTTATTTAATTTATGGAAAATATTAGGGTTGTTCTTGTGTGATGTTCCTGAAAATAGCTTGAGTGATGCAGTATCAGTATGATAAATGGTTAGATTTTTGAAGTTCTGTGATTTCTGTATGTTAAATAAAGACCTCTCAGATTAATGAGAAGCCATCAAATGATCAGTTTTCATCTACATGTTGCACGGGTTTGTTTGTTTTGTATGTGAGGGACCTAAAACAAAACCAAAAGTTTTGTTGATAGTTTGCCAGTAAAATGGGATTCAAGAGAGTGAAAAGTACCACTGCAGTGATACTGTCCTTTCTGTTTTGAGGTAGAATTAGTGCACAACTTAATGCTCTGCTTCTGAAAATGAAGACTAGTTGCCATGCTTGGCATGGAAAAGACTTGAATCTAAAGGGCAGCGGGGGTCCTGTGACTAGTAAATGGAGGATGAACTTAGAGATATGCTGAGAAGAACTTGTATTACTTTTTGTGTTTGACATACTATGTTTGCTACTCAAATATTGTGTGAAGGTCTTGTATTAAGAATGGAAGAAGCAATTCATAAACAGAAGGTGAAAAATATTTTAATGCAGTCGTTGCATTTCTGCAGATAAATGGTGTTCAGTTTCCCAGACTTGTACAGTGATAAAAATGTTTCCTAGAGTTAAAGTACTGGGTGGTTGCTCTAGGAGGTCTGAAGGGTTGAGCAGAATGTTTATGCAAACTGATATGAATAGTCTGGAGTTAAAATACTGAGAAGGGCAATGTACTAAGAGGTTTGGGGAGCTCTGTGTCCTCACTTAAGAGAGGAAGTTTTTTGTCAATCTATAAGTAATTCTGTGGGAAATACCTTTGACAGGATTTTATTTTCATCTTGGGAAGTAATCTTTATTTCTAGTTTTCTAATATTTCTGGGCATTTGTTGTCCTTGACCCTATTTTATTTATCTCTTTGTATTTGTTTGTTGATTTTTGTTTAGAAAACTGATTCCACTGGAAGACTTAACAGCTGAGAATGTGTTACATTGGAGATGTCTTTGTGAAAATCTAAAATCAAAAGGTAAAGAAGGTGAAGATTTACTAGAGGAGATGTTGCCAGAACCAGCTGTATACGCAGATTATTTATTAAGGTACGTTGCATTTAAAAATAAATCATTTGCCACTAAAATTGATTTATTTTTTTTTAAGCAAAGAATATTTCTTTTATTCAAGCTGTTCAGGTGTCCTCCAAACCCAAGTTCATACTTGAACAATGATTTTAATTTTTCTTCCCTTTTTTAAAAAGACTTTTTAGAGGATTTACTTCTTTTAAACAAAACCTGTAAACAGCAAATTTGTAGCCTAAAAACAATGTTTGGAATGCCCTTTCTCCTGAATTATCAGCAAGATGGGACTGTTAGATCAATAGCACATAATTCTGTGTTATTTAAGATAATAAAATCATTGTTCTGAAATATGCAGCTATCCTTTGTGTATGTGTTATTATCAAGGTCACTGTGTTTGCAGAAAGATTTTTAGAGGCTGCAGAAACTGATACTTTTTTCATTTTAATTTGTGAAAAGAAAGTAAAATTTGGCTGCCGTCTCCAGGAGAAGTAGTTTTGTAATTGAAACCTCCCTTCTTTTTTGCCTGCTCAGGCAGGAATGCTTCCTAAAAACTTACGTTTGAAGGCAGTGGCAGAGCTGCTAAATGAGCCAGTTACAGAACATTTATTTCATTGAGGGGTGTGTGTGTGGGGAAATGAATGTTTTGTGAAGTCAGTGTTTTCCCCAAAGTGAAGGATGGTATTTTTTTTTTCTTGGTGAGATTCTTTAGTCTTAACATAAATTTTGAACAGGCTTCACATTTGTGAGCATGGAGAATGCTGAGAAATCTTAACTGAGGTATTGTACTTGTGAAACGTAGAGTGAAGCTTCCTGAAATGATTAAAAATTGTATCTGCTGAAAAATGCATTGTATTGATAGATGTTTGCAATTAAAAATATGCATATTCTTTTCTCACTTCACTGGATGTAGTATACTAGTGGTACTTACAGAAATCATTGCTACTTTTCAATGGGGAATGTGTTAACATGTTTCATAAATATTTGATAAATGAAGCATCTGTGCTTGCTTAATTTTGAAATGTGTATCCAGTCTGGTGGGTGTAAATTCATTCATAATTAATTTAACAGTCCGTAAAATATTTGTTCTCCAAAAAATTTGTTCTTCAAGAGAGAACATTTGTTCTCTTTCCATCTGATCTTACTTAAAATGCCTGCAGTTACCTTCCTCTTCAGGGTGAGGCTGAGTAAGGTTAATTAGGTTTGCTAGAACTTGTTTGTGGTATCAACTGAAAAACTGTTCATTGTTGAGCTTTGCTACTAGTTGTTTCAGGTAAGATTTGCAGTTTGGCAGTCCTCTGGTGTCCAGTTGTGCAGTGCACTGTGAGTATCAGAAGGAGCAAGAAAATGCAAGTCACTGGTACTTAGGAAAAAATGCAGAATTGCAAGTTGCCTTAGGTATTTCAGTGTGATCTGGTGCAGGTGACATTACTGTTAAGTGATCAGAAACACTTACTTTCATTTCAGATGTCCTAACTTCGAAGAAATTTTTAAAATTTGCTAAAAATAATGAGCTGCTGCTGAAAAGTATCTGTAAAGCTGGGGTAGAAAAAAGCATCTTTTTCTCAGCTCATATCAGTATTTAAATTTCATTTTATTACGTTCTATTTGTTACTAGATTTTCTACATTATATGTTTCGCTCCTGATTTTCTGAACGTGCATAACTCAGATAGAATTCTGATAAGAGAACAATGATTCTAGAAAAATAAAGAAATGGAACAAACTGGTTACACTTCCATGCTATAAGGCTGAGTGTATATGATAACAGATTGTTCTTCTGGGATGACATATTTGATCATGTATGCTTTCATGATTTTCTTGTATTTGGTCTTGCAGGCAATATAACACTTCTGAACTTATAAAAAAATACATAGTACCTAAATATGCAGAAAAATAATAAGAAAAATGCTACATCTGTACATTTATTCCCAAGATGCTGGCTTTATGCATTAGTACAGAACTGAAATCACACATAGAAGCATAACTTGTCATTTTATGGTTTTTACTGTTTAACATTGACAAAAAGGATTTTTTTTAATGAAGTACTTTATTTTTAAACTGTAAATTATTTGGTATAAATAGCTTTCTGAAAATAGTAATCTAGGAAAAGAACACAAACATTAAGTTTTAAGGTTTGTAACTAATGTAACCACTTGTTCATACAGGACAAGAAAGTGGTGGGACTTTTTTGGGAGGGAGAGGAGTGGTTTTGGGTATTTGGTTTTGATTTGTTTGGGGTGGGGTTTTTTTTAAATGTTTTACTGTCCAACAGTGATTCTGAATGTAAGTATATCTATTCTGTTTGGATTCAGTTATCTTGAAACTATGCCAGTTCTTACTGAAGAACAAAAAGAAGACTTTAATTGTTTTGAAAACCTGATGACAAAAGAATTTATAGGCCAGCAACTGATTCTTATCATTGGCTGCATGGATACCATGGAAGAGGGAGGAAGGTAAACTTAAATATCGAATCTGTGTTATTAAGCTTATGACACTCATGCCTGTGTACAAGCATAGAACCTCTGGGAAATGAACCTGATCACTCAGACAAAATACAGTCCTAATGCTAGCTGGAAAAAAAAGCACAGTCTCTCTAATGGAATTGGTCAAAAGGTGTCTGCTTACTTTTATGGAAAAGTAAGTTTTGATGCAGATTTGACATTGTTTGTGGAGAACAAATTCAGTTGTTTTCATAAAGTGTTCTTGAGATTATGAAGTTATAAGACTGTTTATTTGGAGCATAGTGTATTAAAAAATAAAAGATAAAAATGGATTACTTTGCAACAGATGACTTGTAGCAAGTAGCCTGTTTGTTTTGTATGTTTTTAAGCTATATTCTGCTAAGGCTTAAAGGTCTTAGATGCCACACTAAATTGGACTGTGTTAACTGAGTCATTTCTATAACTGAACAGCCTTTTGCTGTGAGGTAAGAAGAGTGAATAAATTTGGAAATTCATACCATCACAGGCATTTTGTGAAAAATTGCAGTTATGATAGTATAAACACAGCAATAATTCCAAGCTCTCAGTGGAATGCATATATGTGTACCAGACTGGCAGGATAGTTTAACTTGTAATTTTTTTTGAGTTTTCAGACAGATAATTTCTATGAAAGCATTCTACAGTATTGATTCTAACTGTTTTCTGCTGTTTTTTTGAACAGTAGTGACACCTGATTAAAAAATCCAACATTTTCTAGTCAAGAAAAATTAGGTAAAATCAGGAAAAGACAAACATTGCTAAACAAAAAAATATATTTAGCAGCTGATATAGCTATGGAGAAGTTTCATAATGTATTATAAAGTTTTCATCACACTAGCTTGAAGTTGGTGATATTAACTCATGTCTTCCATTTTCTTGAATAAGCAAACATTGTTTGTGCTTTTTTTTCTCTAATGCAGAAAGCATCTGTTAGTTATTTTACAAAGGATTCTCATTCTACCTGCAACTTCAGCAGCACTTATACCTCCGCTCGTTGAAAGATTGCTCAGTATCGTTAAGGGTGATGACACAAGGATTCAAATCGTAAGTAATTCTAAAAGCTTATAGTGTTCTAGGCTCTGTCTTCCCATATATTAGACAGCTTTTATGAAGCATTGTAACAGAAATATTGGGAGCTCAAATATTTTAGCTTGGAAAAGCATTTATGTCTCCCTCCCCCTTGGTTAATTTTTTTTTCTTTTTTTTAGCATACCTGCATTTTGTGGTTGTCTAGAGATCTTTATCTTTGGAAATTTGACTGGTGTTGTAAATGTAATGCTCTAACTAGGAAAGTGCTACACTTCAACAGCCTGTTCCATAATACCTTATTGTATTTAGATCCAAAGTGTTTTGACTAAAACGTTCAAAGTGAGGATAATGTAGATTTTCCGATTTTGTATTTCTCTTCCCTCCTGGTAGTTCAGATAGGTACTAAAAACCCATATAACAAAAGTATTTTATATAGTAGTCTCTTTAAATGTAGTGCAATTATTTAAACTTGACACTGGAAAAGTGGACCCTTGATTTTACTCAAATATTTTAAATGAACTTGGGACTTGAGGACAGAGATCATTTCTGGAAAAACCTCAGCCCAGTGGGTAAATCTCGATATAGGTCTGTTCCATGGTTATGATGGAAGAACTATGGTAACTGTAGCATTATGATACAATTGTAATGGTAAATGTGTGCATTTCTGATATCCTTGTGAAATACACTGATTTGATACATTCTATTGATTTAGTACAGCTTGAGAGAAGGTTAAACTTAGGTGATCTGATACAAGATAAATCAAATTAAGACTATCCTGTCTCATTCAGTCTTTAGTTTTCATCATGTTTCATCTCATTTTGTATTTACATAATGGGACTGACTTTGAAGGAAGCCCCTAACCCACTGAAAAACTCTCAGCCTAGTTCTGCTTCTACTTCTGTGTGCGTATTTGGCTTGAAATTAAATAGCTGATGTTCCTTCTTCTACTTCAAATGTTGGTTTATAGACCTTTAAATGATGGTGTTCTATTTTGGCTGATGAAAAGCCTTACTCTTGTTACCAGCAATTCTTTTTAAAGCTTGTGTTCATATCTAGAGGAGAAAGATAGTGCCAGAGAACTGTTGGTGTGGAAACAGCTGGACTTCATGGATAATGTGGTCTTCTCATTCTTTGCTTTCCCAGCTGATTGGAAGAAAACACCAGACTTATGGTCACACTATGTATTGTCAAATTGAGGGTTTGTTTGCAGGGAATATGAGCTGTTAAGAGAAGCTGCACAGATATGCAAAACTTTTTCAGAAGGATAGTGTTTTAAATTTGGAAAAGTTAAATGCTTAGTATATGACAGCTGAGCTGAAATTAGTGGCACTAATACACTGTTTGTACCAACAGATTGCAGAAATTATATCAGAAGTTCGTGAGCCAATGGTTGTAGTTGAGCAGCCTGTTGGTGCTGATGAAATAAGAAGGAGGGAGCTTAAGGTAAGCTAGTTAATAAAAAAAATATTATTTTAAGCTTATGCATCTAGAGTTTTATATAGTAGTGTCAATAGAGTGTTGTTGGCTAATACCACAAAGGCTATTATATTAATTTTCTTTTTACTTTGTATTTCAGTTGGCTGAAATAAAAGTGAAGCTTTTTGAAGCAAAGCAAGCTTTGGAAGAATGCATTACTCTGCAGGATTTTAATAGAGCATCAGTATTAAAAGAGCAAATAACTGAGTTGGAACACACAAAAAATGATCTGATAAAAGCGGGAGAGCAATGTGAAATTAAAGAAATGCATGTGGAGAAGGTCTCTTCCCTTCCTGTATTCCTAAGTGCTGGTTATGTTTTAACATTTATTCCTAGTTTTAAGTGAAAGTGTAGCTTGGCCTTGTCTCATCTACATTTTTAATATTGAAAACAAACATTTATGGTATTAGTATTCTCTTTCTGCAAGTATAGAAACTGATGGTATGCCCTAGCAAAAAAATTAATTGCAGTTAAGCTGTTCTTTTGTCCTTAAATAACTAAAGAATTCTAAAAGGGTCATGTTCTTACTGCTTTTACTCTTGACTAGGTGAAAACATGAAAAGGGATCTATTTTCATCATCAGATGATGATTAATATTCTTGCACAACAAATGTGTAGTGGACATGTTTATTTGGGTAGGGACAAATTATGATTAATGGCCGCATTCTTCTTATTGCGCCCACCATTTGTATTGATAATGTTTCTCTTTTCCCTGACCCACTTGCAGAGTGATCCTGAAACACTGTTGAAGTGTCTGATGATGTGCTATGAGCTTCTGAAGGTCATGTCCCTTTCTAAAGGAATCAGTCCAACCATAACTGAAATCATTCAATCTCTGGTATGTAGGAATAAAAATACTGTTTACATTATAATGAAAATGGATACATTGTAGCTGGCCCTTGGATGCTGGCAGGGTGGTTTGTGATTATTTCACAATCACTTTGCTGTATCTGTAGTGCTGTGCTTGGTGCTTTTAAGCCTTTTGAGAATCCAGTGTCTTGGAGGTGAGTGCAGATAATGCTATTCTGAGCTCCTGTGCCAGAACTGGTTGTGGCAGAGAGATACTAAAATACAATAAGAATATAATAAATGTTTGACTACTGTGTATGACAATGCTGGACAGGGCTGAGGTGTACTGTGCCAAGTGGAGTGCTTAGATGTCTGCTTACTGCCTCTAATTACTTGGATTTTCTATCAGCCAAAGTTATGAGAGCTCTAATAGAGAACTTTTAATGTTTTGGGGCTTTTTTTGTTGTTGTTGTTTTGGCTTTTAGTTTGTTTCTAGTCAAAAGCTTTTTATCTCGGAAAGACTGGAACTCATATAGACCTTTCTTTCTTTCCTTCCATGTACAAGAAAAGATTCCCCACTCTGTTTTCTTAGCACCTTTGAAGAGCAAAATATTTTTGTATTGAAAAATAAAGCAGTGGCATTATTGGCCTCTTGTAGTCTACAAGGTATACTTCCTAGTTTCCATTTTGAAGACTATGCATTTGAAGATTAACATTTCTAAATATCACAGCCTTTTAACTGTTCCTGAAAGTGCAAACAAGAAAATAGAAAAAACAATACACCATTGTATGAATGATGTATCCACATGGGAATACTCTGTGCTATTCTTATCTATTTAGACAGTTTATATTTGAAGTTTGTAATGGAAGTAGTCAAGATAAGATCAACAAGGAAAAGTATGGAATGGCTTCTATTGAAGAATATTTTAATAGGTTACTGCTTTGTAACCTGGAGAGGACTTAAGAGTAGGGCTTGAGAGAGGGCAGAAGTCGTAAGACATTGGAGAAAGTGAGTAAGGATTGGTTGATCACCCCATGAACCTATTCATTAGCAAGCTCAAAACAAATGAAATGTGTTCCTTCGTCACCTAAGTGGAATTCCTTGTCGTGGGATGGTGAACACTTGTACAAATTTCAAGGAAGACTGAGCAAGTTCAAAATAAATATTACGGAATGATTCGGTTATTCCTATCTCAGCTGCAAATTCTTGGGACCTTGGCAAGAATTCTTAGGACGTATCTATTTAGTCTGTTTATGTAATACTTCATAGGAATTTGAACTTGATCTTTTGATAAGGAGAAAATGGACTGGATGACCTCAGAATGGGAATTCTTAGAATTCAGCCTGCAATGAAACTTGCTGAAATGTAGTGCAACCACACCTGATTTGTTGCAGATGTATAGAATTATTCTTAGAAGTCCTAATTAATGTTGTGCATCCCAGAAACCTTTTTTTTTTTAACTTGGTCTTTCTTTAATTTTCACATTTGTTGTTTATTCCACTTTTCTTTGTCCAAGATAATGCTTTTGTATTGATGTTCCTGCTGGATTTTCATGTATTAAGTGATTTGGGATACTTATTTGTGTTTTACTAAATGCAAAAATATAAAAAGATGCCAATGTGGTGTTCCCACTGTATCTAGTCAGGCTTTTTTATTGCGTAGAGTTTTACAATTGTCTTCTCAAAGCTATTCCAAGTACATCGAAGTGGCATCGGTATTTGGTAACTTGGGTACGGTTTCTCTGCAAGAATGCTAATGTCTTTTATAAAGAAATATGTAGTGTTGTTGTTGTTGTGTGTTGTCTTTTTATCTCAGAGTGATGAACACCATTTTGTTTGGAAACAAATATTTATTAAAAACACCCACAAAGGAAAACACTCATGTGACTTTTGCCGTTATTTTATTGCTGATTTCGAACAGCATACCCAATCTGCTTCTGTTTATATCTAGATAAACAGAGTATTTGGTAGTTGCCACTTTCCAAACCTGTATCAAACTAAATTATTTTTATTTTCAGGGTAAACACATTTTAGTAGTCAGTTTTTTATTTTCAATTGATATATTTCAACCATAAAGTGTAATATTTTTTATTCCAGATACTTCCTGGCATAACTAATGTTCATCCAGCTGTGAGAAATATGGCAGTTCTGTGTTTGGGTTGCTGTACCCTTCAGAACAAAGAATTTGCCCAAAACCATCTTCCACTGCTGTTACAGGTAAAATGTCTGATCGGAAATGGTCTTTGTAACTTAGTAAATAAAATTAGTCTTGTATCCATAACAAACTATTATATGTAGTAATGGTCTTTGAGAGCCTGATTTTCTGGAGAGTGTGGTTTCATTTAGGTTTTTCTGATGTCTAATAATATTCAAGCTTATATTTTATCTTGGGAGTAGCATGCCTTTCCTTTGTAAGGTCATCTGTTGTCTTGAAAGTTTCTAGGAATTCCTTATCTGAAAGGTCTCACTTTCTTTTCCAAATCTGGTTATAATCAGTCACGTATTTGTTATTTGATATAGAAAAGAGAAGGTATAGTATTCTTTAAGCCTTCCTTGGGAAACCAAACTAAAAATGGGACTGTGATTGTTTTCACATTTCTGTTACACACTTACCTGTGATCTTGGGTGTCCGATATAATTTCTGAATTACTATTTTTTTTAATGGATTAAGGAAGAGTTGTTAAGTAGAGGATAAAGCAATATTAAAGCCAAGAAACAATAACATGGCCAAGCATCTGTGGATATAGAACATGTTGGATGCCATAATACCCACATCTCCCACCCTTGTGGTACATGTTCTGATGATGAGCTAATTGTATCAAAGATGACACCTGTCAACTTTTTTGACCCTGGCTTTGAGAGTCGTGTAGGTGGCCATTGTGCTTTATTAAAGGTGTGTTCATGTAGGCACTTGAGAAATGTCAGCAGAGGCTGAGCTGAGATGCTGGGCTCAGACAAGATGGTAGAGCTGTCAGGCACCATGGTAGGAGAACTTTGGGTTACTAAAAAGTTAGCATATATTATTGTTTTTAATTTGCCTTTGAGTATGTCTCATTAGAAAACAAGTTTGTTTAGGGAAGATTACAGTTGTTTTAGTAACTTAGATTTTAGACTTGAGTACTTATTTCTGTAGGTACTAAACCCCACAGTCTTTCTGTAGGCTGCTATCAGAAGCAGGGTGTGGGGCTAAACAGATCTAGAATCTCTAGGTTAACCCACCCATGATGTATGGTTTTACTTGAATGCTAATTTAAACTCTAATACATATAGTAACCTGTGCAACTTTGACTTTGTTATCTTGCTTCCTGCTGTCTTTTTAAATACTGTTGATTTTAATTAAGCTGTACTTTTTTTAAGCTGTGTTTCTGTAGTGCCTAACACTCTGGAACTACTACAGGCAAACAGACTTTGTTTGTCCAGTGTGTCTTTACGAGTTGAACAATAAAATTACATCTCACACTTGCATGCTCACTCTGTGAGTGAAATTCAGTTGATTTTATGTAATGCAAATTGCATAGATAACTTGATAAACTATTTCCCAGACTGTATTATAAATCCAGGTTTAAACTTGTATCACATCTTCCTAAAATCTGAAAGTTGTCTCAAGTACAATAGAAAGTTTCCCAAATTAATAGTTGTCTTAGAGCAAAAAATCTTATGCTGAATTTTAACATTGGTGATCTACTGGAAGATGATGTATGTATTTTCCTTATTAAACCTAGGTTTTACAAATAGATAATATAAAGATAAAGCTCAGTGCTTTGAAGGCAATCTTTGATCAACTAATGCTGTTTGGAATTGAGCCTTTTAAAAGCAGAAGAGACAATGACTCTCAAAGTGAAAGTGCACACATTAGAACTGAAAATGGTGAGGATGAAAGCAAAACAATAGAGGATGAAGAAGACGCTGCCACAGTTCACAGCCTTCTGAAGCTACTTGCTGGTTTCTTAGACAGTGAGGTAAGGAATACTATAAAACATGCCTTAGTTTTGTTTTAAAATTATTATTGCAGATGGCTTACCATCCCGTTAGGTTGTATGTGACTACTACGTGATGTGTAACTGAAATCAATAGTCTTATGTTAAAATAGTCCTAGAAAATGACTACAAGTTTTTCACTGATACAGACTAACGACACTCTTGAGCTGGCTTTGAATTCTGTGCACGTGCAAATATATGAATGTAGAGAATTGATTGGCAAGATAGGGTGTAGACTATTACTAGAAAGTATTAGTGCAAAAGGCTGTGGTTGGTGCGTTGTGTTTGTGATGAGTTCTTCCTTCAGTTTTCAGAGCTTAGGACAGAAGCTGCAGAAGGCATTGCCAAACTGATGTTCTCTGGGAGGCTGATCAGTGCCAAGCTCCTTTCTCGCCTTGTTTTGTTGTGGTACAACCCCGTGACTGAAGAGGATACTCGGCTTCGACACTGTCTAGGAGTATTCTTCCCTTTATTTGCGTATGCAAACAGGTAATGGTCTTTGTAATTTGTTATGTGACAATGTACATTGATCTAGCAGCTTTAGGAACCTTTTTTGGTCTTGCACAAGTAGAAATTGCAGAAAAGCAAGTTAGACCTAAAGGTTTAATTCAGCCTCCTATGCCTGTTGCTTTTGAAAGTACATAATCTCAACCTGTGACTATTCTGACGACTTTCTATTAATTCCCTTTTACCCCTGTGGCCTTCCACTTTTTTTTTCCTTTCCTAAGCCTATAATTGAAACTATTCTCCAAGATACTGAATAAAATATTAATTTAAAAAGATGTGCTTTACTTATTTATGCTGTTGAGCACTACAGGTAGGCTTTGAAGTGTCACTAAAAAGTAGCTAGCAGGAATGCTTCAAAAGAAAATAATCAGTGCCCAGCAGCTATCAAAGAAGCAGGCTGGTGGGCTGTGGCTTGGGGTTTGTTTTTGTTTTGTTTTTGAACCAAAGAATACTCCAATTTAAATTCACAGCAGATTGAAAATCTCCTGTTTATTTTGGTAGTGGACAAAGGAGGTAGAGAGCTTATGTAAACAGCAACTCTCATCTCCTTTCACCTGCTGAATGAAAAAGTTTTTTAACTTTTTGTTAAATTTTGTTAAATTGTTTAACATTTGCTGGCAGTGGTTTGAGCGAGTTAGAACGAACTGAGTATTTATCTGGTTGTTTTATGGTTAATATTTAATTTACCTTTAATTATATGTTACCTTATCTATTTTTCCAACCAAATTGAATTAAATTTTTGTGGCCAATATGTTGCTACATTAAGGAGTGTAGTTCAAATGGGAGTTGTTGGAGATGTAAAAGTTAATAAATATCAGAAACAGCAAAGGCTTCACTTCAGTTAGTACCCTGTACTTTGCAACACCTTGTCTTTCAAATTGTTTTGAAAAATGTTGTGGAACTACACTTTCAGACAACTTGCTGCAGAACCGAGTGCAGCATGGTTTTTTTAGGCTTGCTTAGCAGGAATGATGAACTCTTCTGAGAAAAAAGCATGAGTATTTCTTCCAAAAATCTTGTTAGCCACTGCATATTTTTTTTGCCAGGCTTCCTTGCTTTCTTACACAATGAAAAGTACCCACAAAGAAAAAGGCTAGCGGGAAGGAGGAATGAGCAGAAGACAAGATTAATAAAAAAAACAACACCTGAGAGAAATGTATTTATGTAAATGTGTTCTCTTGTCCTTAAGAGCAAATATGTCTGTATATATCAGACATATCAGTTAGGTTTTCAGTAGTAAGTTTGAATGTTCAAACTCTTCAGAGGCAGGAAGTGTTACTTAAAACTTGCTTGAAATACCATGTGCTAAAACTTTAATCGGTTCTGTGAAGCAAGTTTTGATATCTTGATCTTGCTGGCTGTTGCTGCTAAGGTTGGCTGCTCCCACTTTGGTTTGACTGATGTGTTGCAATGGGTCGGAGAACTTTCATCCTGGAAGAGAAAACAGTTTTGTCTTGTTATGCTACTAATATTTGACACCACTGAAACAGGTCTAACCAAGAATGCTTTGAAGAAGCTTATCTTCCAACTCTGCAAACACTGTTAAATGCTCCTGCAACGTCACCTTTGTCTGAAGTAGATATCACTAATGTTTCTGAGCTGTTAGTGGACCTGACAAGACCAAGTGGACTGAAACTTCAGTCTAAAAAGTCTCAGGACTACCAGGTACAGTATGTTAAACTGTAGGAAAATAGTATAGTATTTGTGTCTAGAGATTAAGAACTGCCCCTCCCTCTTGCTTACTGCTACCTGTCTGGGCCTCTGGGACTCCCAGCAGTTGGATTAAATGACATAATGAAATCTTATAGCTTGACACTTTCCCTCCCACTTCCTTCCCCCCAAGTCTGCCCTCCCTCTTAAAATTAAAAAATGCTACTAGGACCTTGCACCATGGCTAATTGTCTATACTGGGAAAAGTATTTATAAAAATCATTTGGTGTACATACTAAAAATACTGCATTTTAGGAAGACGTTTAGTCTGTAAAATAAGACAATTAACGGCTTAAATTGGAATGTTCTCACTGCTGTCTCTTGTAAATAGTTCCCAGCAAAATGTCTGATATCTAATTTCTTTCCTTTACAGGAGTTAACAGTGCATGATAGTTTAGCCATGAAGATTTGCAATGAAATCCTGATGGACCCAACTGCACCAGATGTCCGTATTTATGCAAAAGCTTTAAGTTCACTAGAACTCAGTAATTCTTCCACAGAGAATCTTCTGGTGTTGCTCAATGAGATTCTAGAGGTAGCACATAAATAACGTGGTTCTTACCTTTTTATTCATTAGCAATCTAATATTCTGATACACTTACAAATGAAGTGCCTTTTGTTTACTATGATGATGTGACTGGAATTTCTCTTTTAACCAGGCTTTGAAAATTAATTTTTGAGTAATTTACAAAATAAGCTGATATCACTGCATAAACTGTAGACAGTATAACCAGGGTGCAACAGTGTGCCTAATTGGATATATTGTGGTACAGTGAGATCTTTGTGATGTAGTTAATTTTTTTAAGTTAAAATAAAATTCAGTATTAAGTCTTTTGCAGTTTGGATGGCTTTTCTCTAGTTATTATTAAGAGCTGAAATTTTACACCTAAACTTATGATGTAATTGGAAGATCATTAGCCAACATGAAAAGGGTGCTTGATTTAAGATGAAGTGGGAAGGGATTGATTACAAGAATTTTTACTTCGGTGCTTTTATTAATATGGAAAAAAATTAATAACATTTGGGAGTATGACAGATGAACACCGTGGTATAGAGAAATGTTGAAAAGAATACCAAATCCACTATGGGTATATCATCCAGAGGTAGCTATACTTCAGGTCCAGTTGCTTTAATGTTTTTCAGGTTTCCTTTAAAAAAATTATTAAAAATTTAAAAATGTGGGATTTCAGTGCCCGATGTTGATGGAGAAAGTGTTTCTACTTTCAGCTTGACTGATCATTTTCATGTCACACATTGTATCCTTTGTGCAGTAAATTTAAACAATCCTGTTAGTAGGTAAATTTAATGGATAAAATAAATAGTTGTAAAATTAAGTAGCATTTAACATTAAATGTCTTTTCTCCAGAAAGTGGAAGATAAACTGTGTCAAAAAACTATTGAGAAGATCAAGATGAACTTGACCAAGGATCCTAATGTGGGCAAAAACCACTCTAGACAAACCGAGGAAACAGGTCTCTCTGGAAGGACACAGGACACTGACATCCCATTGCCTGAAAATAGTGTTCACAATGAAGAAGGTAATTCGGAAGACATGTAGTACAGTAGCAGGTGTACAGTTCAATGAATTCTTTGGATGTTATGAAAATGAGTTTTAGTTTTCCTTTATTAAATTAATCTACTTTTTGGAAAAAACAGGAAAAGGTAATGTAGTAATAAATATGCAGGCAGTTTAAAATATTTGTACTGAAATATTTTACATTTTGTAGTGCTTTTTGACCAAATTCTGTCATATTACTCTGGTATGAATAGTGCCGTATTCTGCATCTTAAGCTCTGCCCTGCAGCTCTTTCTTTTTACCAAAAACAGTATTAAGATGTTTTGTTTTGTTTTAAATGTCTGGCACACTCCTGTGCCTGCGAAATACTGATGCTGACTAACTCATCTTTAGAACAAGAGTTGCTAACTTGGAGGAAGAAAGAAGTGCTGGGTGGGGTTCTTATACTTTGGAGTATAAGAATCATGCCCGTGGTTCTTGCAGGCTGTGTTACAGCAGGATAGAGCTGATACCTTCCACGTTCACTCCAGTCTGTCCTTGTTGCCAACTCATCTGTGGGAGCCACATTTCCTTCTATTGCTATTTAAGAGTCTGAAGTGGAAGTAGCTGGAAGACTCTGCCCTGCCAGCAAAGTGCGCAGCTGCACGTGCCTCAGCAGTGTACGGTGTGCTGGGGGCTCACAAAGGAGAATATTTTATTCAGCAGAAAAGCAGTTGGATGAAACTTACTACGTTTGCTTGCAGAAGCAAAGCAAAAGTATTGACAGGCAGTTGTTTGAAGCAGATCATGTGCTCTTTTACATTCTTTTAATTATTTATATTTTTAGCAGGTTATTTAAAGGCTTTAATCTGGTTTTTTTCCAGAAGTGCCAAATAGTTTAATTTCTTTTATCTTCTATGTTTATGTCTTCAAATACTTCTTGGATGGGAAGTTGGAAGTATGCTTTGAGCAAATAGTTGCAATGTTTTTGGCTAACATCTGATAATCCTTTTTGGTGTGAAATTGTTATGCAAAAGAATTTTTGAGCACTTTTTAAAAGCAGACTCTAGGAGAAAAGCATTGTTCCCTTTCCTTCTCCCACCCCCTCCCTCAATACATTTGGGATCATTAAAAACTAAGCAGCATTTACCGCTTCAAATCTGTGGGATTTCAAATTTTCAAAGAGTCTGAAACATCAGTCCTATGAGGAGTGGCTGAGGGAGCTGGGGTTGTTCAGCCTGGAGGAGGCTCAGGGGGGACCTTATTGCTCTCTACAGCTCCCTGAAAGGCAAGGTGGGGGTTGGCCTCTTCTCCCAGAAAAGTGGGAGTGCATGCCTTAATATCTAGTTTCTGGTTTAAAGAAAAAGTGGGGTTAGATTGTGTGGCTTTTTTATATAACAGCCAAAATTTAAAATACTAGTACTTAAGATAATCAACTTTTATGACTTCTGTTTGTGCTATTCTCTTTAACAGAAAATAACACAGATGCTCTTCATACTCCAGTTAATGAAGTTAAAGAAACGGCAGAATTAAAATCCACAAGAAACAAAACTGGCAAAGGTACATGGGCAACATGGGCAACAATATTAGTTGCTTTTAATAAAAAAATTTCATGCTTTTTATGAATGTATTGATATAAAAGCCATTCATACTCTGTTGTAGTTTTTACAGTTTTATTTGTTAAAAGATTAAAGTAGTCTGTTTTGTGAAAATTTTCGTGCTGTCAGCCTCTCCCAGTAACACAGATTTAAAAAAAAAAAGAAGGAAAGACTGACTACAGGATTTCCAGAGAACCTGGTCACAGCCCTTGACAGTAACAAACAGTTGTTTCTGGGAGAAGTGGTAAATTGTGGGTTTTTTGTTGTTGCTTTTGTGTTGTAATGACATTCTGTCTGTGCTGACTGCATATTTGTGTGTTTCAATGCAATATCAAACACTGAAGAAAGATACAAAACTAGCTTAGGAAAACAAATGGTATCATGATATGAAAAGAGACTTTTGCTTATACTTAGGACAGCGCAAAGCAGCAGCAGAAGGGAGGTCTGTGAGCAGAAGAAAAGCTGGCACAAGTGTAAAACGTGCTACTGAAAGGTAGGTGCTTGACTCTTCACCATCAACACCATGATGTTCCTTCCAGCAAGGAAATTTAATTCGAATGCTTTTCTTTCCCAGACTTTTACCTTTGATATCCTCTGTTCCTAAAACATAGATAAATATTTTAGAAAAAAAAAATTTCTTTGAACTAGTACTTTTGAAACAGTGGCAGGTTTTGTCAAAGAGCCTGTAGCCTTTTTGTAGCATACCTTTGGGGTGTAAAGTCAACATATATTCTAGCTGACGTTAGATTTTTGGTTTACATTATTGCTCTTCTTCCAATCACTTTTTCTGCTTTTTTAATCTGTTCTGTGGAGGAGTAAATTTTATTTCTTTTTCCCTCTCCACAGTTTTGTTGCTTTTTTTCCCCACATGTGTTGATAAACTTCTGAGAAGTGAATATAGACAATGGATTCCTTCTCGTGTGATCTCGTAGGTTATGAGAATTAAAACAACATTATCTTTGTAATTTTTAGCTGTGCTCACTCTTTCTCAAGCAAGTAATCCATGGACTTCAGGTCCACCAGGGTCAGTCCACTCCCTTTTGCCTATTTGGTGTATTTATTTTGATTTCACCTAATTTTTGGGAGTTATGCTTATTTTGCAACTGCTATATCACTTGGAAAACAATATATTCTTTTCAAAAAATAAGAAGTTTAAAATTGGTAAGAAGTTTTTTTGTTCTTTAAGACCATGTTTCAAGTTTGTTAATATAAAAACTCTTGAGTTTGGTTAGTCTTTTTGGCCTTACTTTTAAATATTCTGCATTTCAGTTGTGATGAAGTTCCAGAATCGGTCCCAGTGTCAAGTTCAAGGCCTCCAAGACGAGCAAAAACATTGGCACTTGAAAAAACCAGAATGAATCTTTCAAGACTTTTGAATGAGGAAGTGGAGAATTGAAGACAAAAGGAAAGAAAGTGCCCTTTGCCAATGCTGGTAGTTAACATCAGACTTGAAAAATGAGATTTTTTTTTTTCTTCTTAGTCATATTTAACTCCTTTGATAATTCTAGATTTCTAGATTATTTTTTTTAAACAATGCTTTTTATTATTTTCCCAATATGAAGTCCCTCTAGATTTCTAGATTAGTTTTTCTTAAACAATGCTTTTTATTATTTTCCCAATATGAAGTCCCTTTAGATTTCTAGATTAGTTTTTTTTTAAACAATGCTTTTTATTATTTTTTATTATTTTCCCAATAAGTCCCTCATTCATGTATTAAAAACATAATAAAGTATTACCTGAACAAAACTTGGAGGTTTTTTTCTTTTTCTTTAAAGAGAATGCTGCTTCTTATCTGCAGATAAAATTGCTGTTGGTGCTGTTTTGGTGTTTAACATTAGCAGAGGGTTTGACCTGTAGTGGTTGCTTGTGATGGCAGCAATTTTGAATGTATGTACCTCTGTGGCACCCACTTTCTCAATTTTTATAAGGTTTTATAACAATAAAACCTGGTCAGCAGATGCACATATTTACTGTTCGTGTTAATGTAAGAGTTGATCTTAGTTGTGAATTCTGCTTCCTGCAGATACGTGTCCACTTTATTGAAAAATGTAAAAGTGGTAAAACTGAGTAACTGATTTTATAAACTGAACTCTGGAAGTCTCCTACTGATCTTCACCTTGTTATGTAAAATCAGTGATGTACTTTTAGAAAAGCATAAAAACATTTGTTGTACAAAATAAGATCCAGTAAGGAAAGGAATATTTAAGTACAGAGAGGTGTAAAAAATGAAATGCTCTTAAGGTCCATGTTCTGTCTTTTTAAAGTAGCATCCAATTATGGGTTCTTTGTAGCTTTGCAGTTCAGAATCTTTTTCTAATGACATATCTAGGAATGGTCGTGAGTTTTACAGGACAACAGAAGATTACACTGCACGTAGTAGTCGCTGGTGGCTGAGCAGATTCACTCTGGAGATGGAAACACTTGGTCGGTCATGTCTGGCTGTGTTCCATTACGGATGATTTCAGAGGCAGTGGGAGAAATCTTAATGTTGATTGCTTGACAGGTGCATCTCAACTATTGATGCCAAATGCAGCTTTCTGTGGAACTTGCATTTGAAATAGGTAAATATACTATAAAAGATCTTTGGTAATTCTCAAAAATTACTTAGGAACACAAGTGAAAAGTAGCATTCCCAAAGTGTAATGCCCAAACTATTGTGTTATTTCCAAGCTTGCTTATAGGAAACAGACAGGATTGTGTTGCTTTTCCGCCTTTGCAGATTTTGTTGGAAACTTGTCAACCTGCAGAATGCCACAACATGCTTTTCTGCTGACATTTGCTATTCAGAAGCTTCTGTAACTGTGATAAATTATTTATATTTGTAATTTTAAACAGAATTTTGAGGCCCTGAACTCCCTCTTTTGATAATTCTTTTCAAATCCCCAAATTGTGTTGTAGGGTGTTTGTGTACATGCAGGCACTTGAGATCAGAGATGCTCTCTCTCCCCTTGAATGCTGCCTGAACATAATTCAAATGGGCAAAGTATATAGTTCAGTTTTTCTCAGTTGATTGTCAATCAGATCTTCCCTGGGGCTTTCAACTGTTGTTGGTTGGTTTTTTGTTTGCTTGTTTTGGGGTTTTTGTTTGTTTTGGGTTTTTTTCAGTTACAAGTTCTCTCTCATCCTCCTTCTCTTCAACCACTAATACACTTTCAACAACTGGTGCCTGCATTATCCATAGGTGCTGTGGATGTGGCTTCACTGGTGTGTTAACAGGAAACAGAGTTTGCCTTTGGCAAACACCTGGGCTGGTGTGGGGCTGTAGTGCCTGCCCTATGGGGAGAGGCTGAGGGAGCTGGGCTTGTTCAGTCTGGGAGGATCCTCAGTTACTTGCAAGGAGTCTGATGAAGAGATGGAATTGGGCTCTTTGTTGCATATGGTGGGAGGATAAAAAACAGCGGGTATAGACTGAAACTCTGACCAGAATATAAGGTGAAAAAGGCAGTGAAACAGGTTGAGAACTGCTGGAGCAGGTTGCCTGGGAAGGCCATGTAGGCTCTGTCCTAGTTTAAGACATGACTGAACGAAGTCATCACAACTGTCTGCCTTTTTAGCAGGATCTTTGTGATGTCCTTTTATGCCTGAATTACCCTGTGATCCTTTCAGGTTGGAAATCTGACCAGCAACTGGCACTGAATTTCCAGCCCCTCTGGGTGATTCACCTGCCCAGCTCCCTGTAAAGGGAAGGGATTTCTGTGCGATAGAAAACGTGGTGTGCTCTTGCAAAATTACTTCACTTACTGAGGAGAGGGTAGCTGCATAATTGCAGGATGGGATGATCAGATGTTTGCTGTCTTCTTCAAAGCTCACAATAACTGATAATCACAGTTTAAATGCATGCAGCTGACTTTCTGAGAAAGTCACATGGTAGCAAAAGTACATCCAAAGGTGACAAGGACCCAAGTCTGGAAGTATCTTATTACTTGCAGTGAAAAAAATCTTGACTTCATATGTATTACTCCTTTTACTAAAATAATGTTATTTACTTTAATTCTATGGGTTGAGTACCTAACTTCCTGGCTGCTTAATTAAAGAGTAAAATTTTAATCCCTAAAATATTCTAATTGGTTTTAAAACAGCCTCTTTGTTGCTCTGGACCAATTGCGGTGTGACTTCTCTCTTTTTGCTGGCTAAACACAACAGGGTGTGAAACATGGCCACACTAGACCTAGACTTGATTCCCTATTAATGATAAAATAGTAGTGGTCACTTGTCAAACTTAAAGCGATCCCCTGTTTATTCCCACACTGGTTTCTGTTTCTTAAAACCAGTTTTGTGATTGTCTCTTCAGACTACACCCTAAAACACTTTCTCTTGAGAACAGGCCTTTGGCTGGTCACTCTCCCAAGCTGAAGGGTAAGGGCTGCACCAAGAATGTTTGTTTTTCTAGTGGTGGTGTTTTTTGTCTGACTTCCAGCAGTGCCTGGGGAGCTTGGGTTGTGCCTGAACCGACTCCCCTCTGACCACTTCTGTGTCATCAGCCAATTAAAAGTCAATGTGATTCAAATAATAATAATTGCTGATAGTTAACAAAACCAGGCTGCTGCTTGGAGCTGAGGGAGACGTGTCCAAACCAGAAAAGTTCTGGTATTTACTGGGTCTTTGAAATGAGAAAATCCACATGGCATCTCCTCCTGTGGGTACATGAATAAGATACCGGCTGCATTGCCTCTGATGTCCCTCCTCACTCCTTACTGTTCCTTGTGCTTTGGTGGGGCTGTACTGAGTCAGTGCCTCTCCCCTGGGAAGTTTAATTCCCCTTTTGGCTTTCTTGCCACAAAGAATCCACACGCATTAAATAGCTGAGATACATAAAGACCCGCTAGACGGTGCAGTGTGATGGTGAATGTTTATTCTTTTAATCATGTTCTGCACTGTGTGATACTTCAGTGCCTCAATATCCTATTAGGATCTTTGGGAGACTTACCAGAATTCGTAACAATCTTTTTATTTCAGTTACTGGATTGTACCTGCAAACCAAGAAACCTCTGTAAAGAGGAACTGCATCTTCACTTTCAGGTGAATCCTTAAAACCTTTGTTTTATAAAATATAGTGTCTTCCAAGGAAATTTCCTTCTGGAAGATTTGTTCTTGGCAAGCAAAGGACAGAGAACTTATTACGAAGTTGAATTAAGAAACCTCTACTCTAGCTATTGAATGTATGACTCCAGAAAAGAGAAATATATCATATGGTTTTATTCTAACACTTTTGTTATAGCTCTATTAATAATAAAGTTTTGATGAATGAAGTACATGAACCTTGCTAAAGATCATCTAAGCATGGAATGTCTACAATGTAGTCAGCTACAACCATTTACTACTTCTTTGAGTAGAGTTTAAAACTTTGATTTTACATTGCATTTCCAAAGTACACAGAAAAAATGAAATAGGAAGAGCATTTACATCCATTTTAATTGGTGGCAGGCATGAATTCATAAAAACGAATGGGGAAGAAAGACCATTTAGCAGAAACCTCAAAAAGTGCAGATACAGATTTGTTGAATGACAATCTCATGAGATTCTCCAGCAGGCTTGGTCTTTTAGACATCACGGTCATTAAACACTGTCACACAGAAGTTCTCAAGGTAAGTGAAGATGAGAGCCTACTGCAGAAACAAACTGGTGCTTCCATACATTTCAATCCATTGGTAACGGAGATCTCCTCAGATAATTTACCTTTGTACTGCTTTGCTTCGAGGTAGTCGGTCTCCACTTGTTACAGATTTGTTTGAATTAATACCATAAATCTTTACATGGTGACCTATGCCACAAATTACATAATATATTAACTTTCGTGCACAAAAATAAAATTGGGAAATAATTAACTTTAAAGAACATAGAAAAATCACAATACTATTAAAGGGGAACATCCGATTCTGATATAAATTTGTACTGCAAGAATTTCATGATGGTCAGATGTGAAACTTTGTATTTAAAAAAAGAAAAAGTACATCAAACTGAATAATGCTAGTAGTATATAAAGCCAAATCACACAAGATCATTTCAAGATCAATGTAATAAACGCTTATTATTTTGCAGAAAAAAAAAATCAGAAACAATGTACAAAATAATAGTGCAAGAACAGCTGCAATCTATTTGTTCTCATCAGTTTTGAGATTTTGGTTAAAAACTTTACAGCTGGCGAGAGATGCTGCTGAAAAACTCAGATTCCACTCAGTGGGCTGATTAAGGCACATCTTTATGGACTTCAAATGTTCATTTTCTGTGTTCATGTCTATTGAATTCTGCGGCTCCGAGACTTTCACTTGTAGTGTGCTGTGAGAAAAGAAGTGGGGGTAGGAGAGGGGGGAAAAAAATGACAAAAAGTTTAGTACACTTTCCTCTTCCCCTGCAAACAAGCTGATAAGAGGCAAGATGAGGTGGTGGCAGATTGTGCATTCTGGTGGGGGTTTTTTTTGTTGTTTTACTGCACTATGTTCCAGAAACACTGAGATTAGAACCTGACTGTGCTGTGCTCTGTGTTGTAAAGTAGACTGGGCTTGTTTGTGTTGGGATCTCAGAGCCCCTCCCACGTCAGTCTTCTGCTCACACTGTTCCTTTGCAGAAGTGCAATAACAGGGTTCTGTTGCTTAAATTATCTCCAGCTGGCACTGTAAAGGCATAGAGCAGGACCTGGGCAAGAGTTTGGGGCTTGTTTTTTTTGCTGACAATGTTCATTTGGTACAGCCATGAAAGATCTAATACATAGAGAGTATTTTGTTTCAAATCTAGGAAAATAAGTAATA